GAGTTAGAGGACAGCCTGGGCTACACAGCAAGTTGAAGACCATCCTGAGCTACACAGCGAGACCATTTTTCAAAAGAATTTTTAGGGGCTGGAGAGGTGGGTGGGTTGGATTCCCAGCACCCACGTGAAAGCTCACAAACATTTGCCCCAAAATTGGGTCCCAGAGGGTCCAACAAGCTCTTCCAGCTTCTGAGATCACTGCACTCTTGTGGTGCACAGACATGCATGCACGAAAGTCCTACACACAGAATAAATCGGTAAATCTTTAAATACATTTTAAAACAGAGCAAAAGAGAAAGAAAAAATAGAAACCCAAGAAGCTACAAGCATCATGAAGTTGGGCAATATTCCAGGATCACTGCTCTAAAGTAATGAAGCTTCAGGTTCTATATAGGGGCTGTGTACAAATTATTCATATTTGCCTGAAATCAACCAAAACATGGTTGGAATGTGGGTTACATGTGTGTGGCTGCACACTCCCCTGTGTATGTGGGCTTGTTGAGGCCAGAGGTGGACTTGGTTGTCTCGCTCAATCCCTCTTCACCTTCTTTCTTGAGACACTGTGTTTCACTGAAACTGAATCTCACTGATTTGCTTCGACAGGCAAGCAAGCGCCAGGGTTCCTCTTGTCTCTACCTCCCCAGTGTTGGGATGGCAAGATCCTTCCTCCACAATCAGCATTTTATATGTGTTCTGGGGTTCAAACGCGGGTCCTCGTGGTAACTACGTACAGACTGAGATATCGCTCTGACCCCCACGGGCTGACATTTATTTTTATTTGTTTGGTTTTTTCAAGACAGGGTTTCTCTGTGCAGCACTGGCTATCCTGGAATTCGCTCTGTAGGCCATGTTGGCGTTGAACTCAGAGATCGGCCTACCTCTGCCTCTCCGGAGCTGGGAGTAAAGACATGTGAGACGCCCGACGCCCGACGCCCGACGCCCGACGCCCGCCTTAAGCCCCCGTGTGCTGAACTTTGGGGAGGTGAACAGGAGCTTTGCAAGCAGATATGCTGAAAACGCCGGCACGTCACTTTTCCCACGAAAAGGAGGCAACGCAGGTAAACACCACTAGAGAGCAGAAGTCTCATTTCTCTCCCCAGAGACATGCATGGGTGCTGAGGAGAACTGTGTAGAACACAGAGCAGCCATAAGGTGGCGACAAAGCCAGTGTGAGGGGAGGAACTCTGAAAGCTCATTGGTCCAGAACAACAGGTGCTGAGGAGGGAAAAAGAAGCGCGGGCAGCTCATTGGCAGGAAACTCAGTTGGCAGAGGAAGGACCTGCATCTTGCCTCAGAACTCAGCTCCTCGCTTCTGATCCGCTGGACACTGAGGTAACCACAGGCTGGCATCAAAAATAAGATTTGCACATTCCTTGTCCTGTTCTCCCCGTTCTCTGGTGTCTCTGGGAACCCAGTTCCTTCAGCTTTCTGCCTCCTCATGTAAGTCTACCAGAGAGGCGAGGCCAGAGAGGCGAGGCCAGAGAGGCGAGGCCAGAGAGGCGAGGCTAGTCCCCGCCTAGCCTGCCCACTCGTGGAGCACTGGCTGCAAGGCTTCCCAGCTTCGGGACCCTCAAGGAGGCGACCTTTGGCTCAGGTTAGACAGGAAAAGATGACTGCGTTTCCTGGGCAGAACCTGTGCTCTTTGAACAGCTGGAGGATGATAGACAGACAGACACAAGGAGGGTACTGCCGAGGAAGAGGGGAAGCTGTGCTTAGGTGCCATTGGTGAAATGTGGAGAAGCATCTAGAAGGTTGGCCAGAGGCTATGGCGGAAGGCATGAGTTTCCGTCACAGCAGAGAGTATGTTGTCCTGAGAAAAACAGCCTGCTGAGGAACTAGCTCCTGGCTTGAACGGGGCATAGCATTTCACACTGGGCCATAAAACAATTTTTTTTAATTTTAAAAATTTTTTTGGTGGCAGAAAAATGCTGGGGGAAAAGGAGGCTACAGGAAGATAAATGTCAGAGGTCCAAGATTCTAGAGGACAACAATCTTTGATTAATTATTTATGGGTTGTTAAAAAAATGTAAATATTATATACTAATAAATATATTTATTAAAAATATAGATATTAAATATCTATAATTTTTATTTATTCTTATTGCTGTTGTTGTCTTGACTGTGGTTATTACTGGAGACAAGCTGTCCCGGTCTTATGAGTTGTCATCAAACTCACCATTCTCCTGCCTCAGCCTCCTGTGTAGTGGGATTTTAGGCAGGAGTCAGCCAAGTTGGCTTGGGTAGAACACGATTTCATGAGGAGCACGTGGTCAGTGATTTCCAAGGAGATCAAAGGAATTATTATTAAGATTGAAGTGGGGCTTGCGGATAAACCATAATCCAGGGAGAAGGGAATATATGGCACCCTTGAGCTAATGCGCAAGTTCACTCGCTTCCATGTGGGTGGTCAGAAGTCAAGTTAAAGTTAGGACTTCGGGAGATAGTTCAAGGTTGACCCATAAGTCAGGATTAGCCGTTGGCTTTGGAAGGACACAGTATGAAGTAACAGATCAGGGAGTGGTGATTGCAGAAAGTGTGTGTGTGTGTGTGTGTGTGTGTGTGTGTGTGTGTGTGTGTGACTGTGTGTGTGATTCTGTGTATGTAACTGTGTGTGTGTATGTGAGTGACTTGTGTGTGTTGTGTGTGACTGTGTGTGTGATTCTGTGTATGTAACTGTGTGTGTGTGTGTATGTGAGTGACTTGTGTGTGCTGTGTGTGTAACTGTCTGTGTGTGTGTGATTCTGTGTGTGTAACTCTGAGTGTGTGTGTGTGTGTGACTGTGTGTGTATGTGAGTAACTTGTGTGTGTCTCTGTGTGTGTGATTCTGTGTGTGTAACTCTGTGTGTGTGTTTGTGAGTGATGGTGAGCAGGGAAAGGCACGATCAGGCTTCTGCGAGGCTTAGGAGAGCAGGTTGTGAGGAGAAGGTGATGTGAGAGAGGGACTTGTGTGAGGGAGATTCTGAGTAATCAGGTGAGATCAAGGTTAAAACAAAAACCATGGTTAAAAAAAAGGAGGAGGAGGAGGAAGAAGAAGAAGAGGAGAAGGAGGAGGAGCAGGGGCGGGGGAATTGGTTCCAGAGATGGCAGGATGGAGGACAGGAAGATTCTAGGCACCAGAGATAGAGTTATCTGGTGGTAGAGGAAGTACACTGGGGGTGGGAATTCCAGTGGCCATTTTGGTGGCCTCCCCAACCCTAGAGCCACAGAACACAGAACTTGAAAGACAAGTTTTCTTGTGGACTTGCGACCCGAACTTAACATTGAGTATGGGACCAGATCACTAAAAGGGGCGGGGGGGGGGTCAAACTGGGTCCCAGAGAACCCATAATTTGCTCTGACTGTGCCATGCCCATGGAATCAGAACAAGTCAGGGGTGAACATGTTCCTGCCTCTTCCAGACCTATAAGTACACCTCCTCAGGAATCTACACTCTCTAGGGGAGAGGTCAGGCCTCCTGTATGTGTGACTAACAGGACTCTTTCAATGCCCTATTTCAGGGAGTCTGGTGGAGCCTTGCCTACTGTGAATTCTGTAAAGAAGGACAGTGTACCCAGAGAAAGAGGCATCTCACTTGAGGCCTGAGAAGAACTATGGATGCTGACCCCAACTCTCATATGGATGCTAAGCAGTGCCCCGCCAGATCACCAGGCATGAGTGAGTCTCTGGCCAGGGAGTCAGGGGGGCGGTGTCTCCGTTTGGCATCAGTAATCCTAAATGCTTCTGCCACCAGCCATGCTGCAGAATTTCCACTTGACCTTGGGCAAACCCTCCCAAGACCTTAACCAGTCCAGGTTTAAGGGTTCCTACTAATGCCAAGTATCATGCGCTTACAGAAAGGAGAGGCATTGTGGGTGGGGTATTGAAAAAATTCATGGTGACCAGAGTCCTCAAGTGGAGGGTAGGTGCTTTTTCAGGGTAGGTGGGAAGGGAGGATCAGCCGAGCTCTGTGTGGTCTTTTACAGATGGGCAACAGGGTATGATTTACCAGCCTGGAGTCTTGCGTCACACAGTTCCCCAGCAGGTAAGAAGAATAAGTTGCTACAGGGACACGCTCCACGCCAGCAGTCATTGTCCACACAATTTCAACTCTGTCCCAAACTCTGAGGTTCTAGCTCCAGTCCTGTCTGGCACTTGCCTTGCAACCTTGAGAAAATAACTTCCCTTTTGGCCTCAGTATCCTCACCCACAGGAAAAACCCAAATGGTGAGACTGTGCAGTTGATCACCAAAGTCTTGAGAATTCTGCCATTCCCCATGGCTGTGACCAGGGTCTTGAGAGCTCTGCCATTCCCCATGGCTGTGACCAGGGTCTTGAGAGCTCTGCCATTCCCCATGG